ATGGTTGTATCTTTTGCTAGCTTTAGATTGATTTTGTGCTGTTATGGCTCTTGACATTGAAGCATTAACATTTTGCTTTTTTAGAACTAAAGCAATTAAACAGTGTTTAAAATCCAGTGTTCTGAACTGGATTTTAAAGCTTCCATTTATCAGATATTCTGATTAAATACTTGTTTAGGATCAAAGCACAGTTGCCCAGAGAAGTTGTGGAATCTCTGTTGCTGGAGGTAGTCACAGAATCACAGATTGGGTGAGGCTGGAGGGACCACAGCGGGTTATCTGGTCCAACCTTCCTGCTCAAGCAGGGTCATCCCAGAGCACATGGCACAGGATTGTGTCCAGATGGTTTTTGAGTATCTCCTGTGAGGGACATTCCACAGCCTCTCTGAGCAATCTGCTTCAGTGCTCAGACACCCACACAGTAAAGAAGTTCTTCCTCCTGTTCAGGTGGAACTTGCTGATTAAACAATACTGAGCCCAGTGTTGTCACACTAGTGACAGGCCTCCAACTACACCCTGTGCCACTGATTATGATCCACTGGGATTTCAACCTTCCCTTACCCTGATGTTCTGAGTGAGAAATTAATGAGGGGGTATTCGAACCTCATCTGGCCATGGCCCTGAGCAACCTCTTCTGGCTGGACTTTCTTTGCCTGGTGGCTGGACTCCATGAAATCCAGATGTCCTTTCCATTACAAATTGTTCTGTAGCTCTGAAACAGGTTCCTTAAAAACAAAAGTCTAAACAGACATCATAACTCCTAGATACTGAAGCACACCTCAGCTTTTCTGTGTTTTGCTGTGTTTAGTTAAGTGATTTGTGGATAGCTGTGGAACTTCCAACTGCAGGTTTAATGCAAGACTACAGTTTTTTCATTATCCATTTTTATTTTAATGCTGGACCTGGATGATTAGGCGATGACACTGTTAGAACTGAACAATAACTTGGAGAGAGTTCTGGTATGTAATTGGATACCTTTTGATGGTTAAATCACAAGCTAAAACACTTCAAACTTTTTGTGTAGTATGAATGGTTTTTAATGTCTGAATTGGTCAATCTGCCTACACATGAGACTTGAGTCAGTGATGTGGTAGATGAATGGGTAATGAGACCTAACGATGGAAGAGGAAGAAGACCTTTCACTGGGCATAGGAATTTGCGCACCATAAATTGCAAAAAGGAAGTACGGGGTATGTGTAAAAATGCAGTGGCAAAGAGGATACCACATCTCATGACATCAAAGAATCAGTAGAAGCACAGTAGGCAGTCTTCCAGTCAGCTGCCTGCATTGTGTAATCCAACATGCATTCTGTCAGAAAAGCATCTGGTAGTAGTTGCCAAGTCATATTGACATCAATATACAGTATGATTGTGAAAAGATCAAGTTGTGTGGGTTCTCTTACTGTGTCTACACTAATGTGGTAGTCTGTGTTTTCCAGGTCATAGGAAAAATTAAGTGCACATCTTTAACTTGGAATGTTTAGAGTGATACTTGTACTTACATGAACTTCTGAGACATGCTTGTGGCCTTTAATCTCTAAAACAGACGAGGGAATGCAAATGGTCTGGATAGAGACCTTATTATATTCCAAATTGGCTTGATGAGGTTTTCACTTTCATTGCTGTGCATTCCTTTACATTTTGTAATGCCAATAATTAAATATTGTATTTAATCTGAAGTTACCATTCTTTTCACTTCTTGACATTTGAGCATGTCTTGGTCATGTGCCCTTGCAGCCCAGAAAGCCAAACATATCCTGGGCTGCATCAAAAGCAGGATGTCCACCAGGGTGAGGAGGAGATTCTGCCCCTCTACTGTGTTCTGGTGAGACCCCACCTGGAGCACTGCATCCAGCTCTGGGGTCCCCAGCACAGGAAAAACATGGACCTGCTGGAGCAAGTCCAGAGGAGGAAACCCATGATTAAAGGGATGGAGCACCTCTCCCCTGATGAAAAGTGGAGAGAATTGGGATTGTTCAGCCTGAAGCAGAGAAGGCTTTGGGGTGACCTAATTGCAGCATTTCAGTACCTAAAGAGAGCCTACTAGATAGGAAAAGGGAGAATGGTTTTAAACTGGGAGAGTAGGTTTAGGTTAGATATATGGATGAAATTCTTTACTGTGGGGATGGTGAGACACTAAAAGGTTGCCCAGAGAAGTTGTGGATGCCCCATCCCTGGAATTGTTCGAGGCTAGGTTGGATGAGGCTTTGAGAAATATGGTCTAGTGAAGGGTGTCCCTGCCCATGGCAGGGCGGTTGAAGCTGGATAAGGTCTCTTTCAACCCAAACCATTCTATGATTGTATGTTTCATTTTCTTGAGATGGAATTTTAATTTGTGACTCCAGCCAAGGAGGGTTTACAGGACATAGAACTGGGGGAGCAGGATACATTGTTCCTTCAAGGTGTCTAATGCATGATAATAAATTAAAATAAAATTACAGGGGCATATTCAAAGGAGACTGCAACTTTCCTATGTTAAAGTAAGAGTTGTATGGAGCCTTGCCTGTCAAAACAAACTTGAGACTCATTTTCTACTAGCTAAATTTCTGCTATCTTTTACCTTGCAGGTAAGAATGCACCTTTTTTTCTCTGACAAAGGCAAGTCTGGACTCCAGCCAAACATAGCTTTTAGTAAATGATGATTTGTTCCTAATCTCATCCACACAGTATCAGTGGCTTGCTCTGGGGAAATTCTGGAGATGGGATGAGAGGGAAAGAGGAAGCAGATGAACATTTGATTTCTCTGTGAATGTCTTTATTTCTCTGGAAAAGGAGTGGTTACTGCCAGAAAGAGACACCCTTTATTTCCTCTTGTATGCAGGCAAGACAAGCTGTCTTTTTCAAGACTGTTGCCTTCTTTGAAGAAAGTCTGGCAGAAAGCAACTTTGTAAATGTGATCTCCACTCACATGTGGGAAGGTGCCTTGAGCTGTGTCAGTAGGAAGCACCGTAAATGAAAGATTTCAAGTAGGAGGGATAGGACCTCACCCTGAACCCTACAGACTTTCTCTCCCACTGCCTTGAGAGCAGAATTTTGCTCTGGGAGAATGCTGGCAGACGAGATCCAAGCTGGCTGTGATGGAGCTTCAGACATGAAATGAACAATGGGGCTGTCCTGGGGGCATTGACTTTGCTTGGAGAAAATTCTCATAGGACATTAGGACTTGGAGTTATGAATTTTATGAATTTGAGGTTAACTGGGGTTAGTCTTTCTATTTGTAGGTTAAATCCAACTTGCTCTTTCACCACGGATTTCCTGGGATCAGTGGGTGTTGTGTTTTTAAAGCTGAAACTACAGACTAGGTTGTGAGATGGGAAGAGGTTTGCAGTTTCATTTCTGCCCTCTCTGTGAAGCCTTCTTGCTTTAGAGCAAGCTGTTCTTGTGGGTAATACCATGTGCAGGGCTTTTGGGTCAGTGCAGCAGGACACATGCCCCTTTTATCTCTTTTTGACTGTTTTTTTTTCCTGAGTCTTTATTCTTTATGTACTTGGGCTCTTCCTGACATCTTCCTGGCTCTCAGCTGTGCCACTTCACTCTCACTTTTTCCTGCTTCCTTGCCTAAAAGAGGGTATTCCACTCTGGTTGTATTCCCCCAAGTCAACAGAGCTGTTGTGCTTTCCTGGCATGGACTTAACCAGAAGCCAGAACTCAACACGCACATGAGGCACAGCCCCATTGCCCCAAGGAGTCAGCTCCTACCTTTGCGTGTGGAACTGGAATGAAGTGGAAGGTGGCTCCCAGTCCTACCTGGCAGGCAGAGACTGGCTCCAGTGGGGTGATTCCCAGCTTGTTCTGAACACAGGCAAGCACTAAGCTGTGCTGATTTCCTCAACCCCAGGCACTAGCTGTGCTTGGGAACTGGCTTACAGCTCTGCTGCTTGCAGAGACAGACAGGAGCTCGTGGTTTGGACTCCTGGTCTTTCTTCACAAAGCGTGAAGGGAGCAGACCAGCTCCTGGCCCAGCCTGTGGGTAGGGAGTGACTCCTGGGAACCATCTCTCCATGCTCAAAGGAGCTCGCAGGAGACAAGAACTGGCTCTTGGCTTGTGTTGCTGGAAGAGTCATACAGCAATTAGGAGGCCATAGCGCAGCTGGGAACCTCTGGCCTTGAGCTTGTCTTCAGAAGATATCTTTGCCCTATTTTTTTGGCTGAGACAAAACTATCACATTGAAGTGGGCACTGTCCTTTGAGACATGTACTTGCTCAGATCTCATTGCTGTTTTAATTACTTACAGTGTACGCTGTCTAGTTGCAGAAATGTAAGGTCCTTACTACTGATCATGTACCAGATAGTTGCTTTTACAGAAACTGCTGTGTGTTACCAGTCTGCCAAGTGTGTAGTAAACTGTTGCCCAGTTGCGACTACTAAATATGAAGCTTGTATTTAGGTGTGATCATACTTGTCATGCTGTCCCACTCCTTGTAGAAGAGATTTAGGTTTAAAATCTGTGTAGTGCTGGCAATAAGTTTTTATTCCTGCCTGCCATGTCTCACCCTATCCCTTGTCCTTCTTCTCAGTGCTTCGCAAGTAACTCCAGAAAAGTGGATCTTGGAACAATGGTATTTTTGTAGTTGATTTGTTTGAATGTGAAGAGATTCAGGAAAAATTCAAAAGCATGAATTACAGTGATACAAAACTTTCATTGTTAGCAACTTGAAAAGATTATGCTGAAAATCAGTTAGCTTTAGTCATCCTTTTATAAATTGTCTTTTAATTTTAATCTTCCCCTGTTTGAATTTGAAACTTGAAATATCTGAGTTCCTTTTGATTAAATGCTGTGCATATAAAACTTCACAAATAAAAATATTATTCAGAAACTATTTGTGAGTGTGATGATTTGGGTAAACAAAAAACATTAGGTTTACTTTACAATATGTTACTAATTTATATGAACGGTATTGCTTTCCTGTTATAAAATACCGTATTTGTTTATATGTTTGTCTCTATTGTTATTTTATTTTATTACTAAATGAACACTTTTTTTTTTTTTTCTTCCCAGAGGATGCTAAACAAGTTTTTGGCCAGACCACAATTCATCAGCACATTCCTTTTAACTGGAATTCAGAGTTCGTACAGCTGCATTTTGGAAAGGATAGAAAAAGACACCTAACATACGCGGAGTTCACTCAGTTTTTACTGGTGGGTCTAATACAGTATGGTTTGTCAAGAGTAATAAGGATGCAAGAATCAAAGTATTTGAAAACTTGCCAAACACCATGCTGGTAGAAAAGTTGAAATACATACCAAGTATAGGCTCTTACAGTCAGAGTGCTGGACTTGTATGGTGTGTTGATAAATAGGATATGCTATTGGTAAAACTACTGATTCAGGTTACTGTGTTTTTTCCTTTTCCTTTGTTTTTGCACCTGTATGCAGAAGGTGATATTTTTCTACACTGTTGTGTAGACAAAGTCATGAAATTAAAAGCTTAAACTTTGATGTCTGAAAATCTCCTGTATTTTTAAATCTACAAGTCCAAGAATGTTAAATTACAGTATTGAACTTTTTGGACTCAACTTGCCAGACTAGTATTAAGAAGTACTTCTGTCTGTGAACAGCATGTTTACCAAACACATATTTAATTCAGAATTGATATCGAGTAATATTTGTTAAAAGCCATTTCCATACACTTTACTTTTGCTCTTTTTTCAATTAAGCTTATCTCAGAGAGGGAAGATTTTCTTGTAGCATATAAAGAATAAAATACTACTTTTTGCAAGGAATCCTTGGCTATTCATACTTTGTTAGAGGAAGTAAAATGTTATGCTAATAAAAAACCCCAGATTATCTGTATTTCAGCAGTACTGTTAAAAATAGTCTTCAGTAGGAAAAGAGGTGAAACACGTGAGTTTCTTATTTATATTCCTCCTGAATACTTAATGCCTGTATTAGTATTTACACTAGAGAATTTTAAAATGGGAACCTGCTTCAAGACTGCCAGGTTTCCTTTTTTCTTGTTTACACAAGTATGTTAGTTCACAGTAGGAGGTGGTATCATTTTGATGAGGAATAATTAAGATAATGCTATTGAGACAAATGTTACAAATTGACTTTGTAGAACAGAGCCTAATTAACTTTGTATGAAGAGGACGTCAGGTATCACATGATTAAATCATATTCCCTTAGGCTTTGTATTGACTATTGTAACTCCTGAATAGCTAAGACATAAACCAGTTTTGTGACAGAAATAGGAATCAGAACCTCTTTGGAATGAAAAAGCAAATGTGCTATTTGATTAGGAATAAATGCCTCTGGCAATGTGTTCTGGTATCTCCTTCCAACTACAGAATAAGCCTCGGAAATGTATCCTGATTTTGGTGATTTAAAGTCACAGTTTTAACAAAGTCAGTTAAACCAGTCCTGTTTGCCTCATCTATTTGCTTAGAGATTGGAAGAAAACATGTAGAAAAACTCAGAATAAAAATACGGCACTTTCTCACCATTAAAAAAAAAAAAAAAAGAAAAAATGTGTATGTAAGGGTTGTTGAGAGAGGTTAAAGAGCTTGTAATGGCAAGACTGGGTATTTGGAATATTTGGGTTCTTTCTTTGGGTTCTTTTGTCATTTTCACTTGAATTAGGAAAAGCAAGCACTCGTGGAGGAGTTTTCTAACTTTGGAGATTAGCCCTAGCTATTAGGCTTTCTCATCTTGTAGAGAGATATTCCTCTTGTCTGAAAGGACTTTTCTTGGATAAGATGATACTGTGGTGATAACTGGTTGTAATGGAAGATGTCAGTGGTCCTAATGAACCATCCAGCCCTTTTGGTAATGATCTGTATAGGTCAGAACATAGACCAGGAGAATAAGGATGACAATTCTGGGTATCTCCAGAGAGGTGAGATACACTCAGGAAAAATTCTAATGCTGCTAATAAAGATGCTGTCAGCACTGGTGCAGGTAGCAAGGATTTTAAAATAAATTAATTGTCCTAAGACTACTAAAGCTGCCTATTATCAGTCCAAACTATTGGGATGCTCAGTCAGTCCGAGTAATTGGGCACATCTGTTTACCCACTTTCTAGAACTGTAAATCCTTGAATCACATAGGTTTCCCTGCTGATTCTTGCCTTGCAGCACTGTATTACAGATGCTGAAGTTTGGGCACAGAAATGGCTGTTGGCACAAAGTGGAGAGTTACTGTTCACAGGCATGGAAATCTTCCTTTAAGCTTTGTAACCTTTGGTACTCAGCTTTTCCTTCTGACATTCTGCCTGTGTATGATTCAGTCTTTTTAGTCAGATGTCTAGACCTTGGACCTTAGACAGCAGGAGACCACAGTGGATACCAAATTACCTTTCTGCATTCCTGATGTGTGAATGCACTTTACATTGCACTTAACATGGACCAGATGGTTCTGTAAGGCACTTCAGGTACTGCTTTGTAAGTACAATGCAATTTGCAACTTTTAATGGAATAATCTAGCTAGATTCATTCCTTTACATTGGGTTCTATTATGTCATATAAACTTGTTCCATGATCATTATCTGTTGCAGCATTTGGACTAAATATCACTTCTGGCAAAGCTCAAGGTAATTGGAAAATAACATTAATATGTTTTATCCATGCACCAGATTGATCTCTCGTGGCTTTAAATATGAAGTGTTTATATGGGATTCTGAATATTTATATTCTTCCAGCACTTCTTCTGTCTGCAATAAGAGAGATGCCTGAAAGTATAGGCTCCAAACTCCTTGGTTCTAATACAATTAACAATCTATTTGCATTAACTTAGAGCTCAAGGTGTGTTGTTTTACCCTGCTCATTTGCTAGTGTAAAATTAGCTCATCTATCTATACTATATATCCATCATATGTATCTGAATATGTAATGTTCCATCATCACTTAAGTGGCAGGTATGCCTTATGAAGAGCAACATCAGTCCCTTTCTCAGCATGTAAAATGTATTCCACACAATGAATTTTAACATGTGCTTATATGTGGGTCTAGTAAAACCATTTCTTCATTGTCTGGGAGTTTATTTGCATCCGGAATATTAGTTGATGAAGTAGTAGTCTCTATAATTGAACCTTGGGATCTACTCCAGTGGCAAAGATTGTGTTGTATCTGATGACTTGTAGATCCATTGGGATGGAATACAAACATAAATTTCTATCTAAGTGGAAGGTAAAGAAGCTTTTAATGAGCTGTAAGTGAAAGCTGAGGTTAAATCTCTAGATAGGAAATAATTTCATTAGAATTCTGGTGCCAGCATGCCTGCCATGATGTATGAATTAATTTTTCACAAAGTCTTATGCTACCTGGGGGAATTCTGGACTTCAGCATCAAGGAAGATGCTTGCTTTCTATGTATATCTAGGTTTGCAGAAAGCCTAGTTGGAGAAGGTTCTTTAGGATGTGTAATTTGTATTGCAAAGTAACAAGGATTGTATTTATTTAAAACTGAGTCTGTCTAGGTGAAATAATATGGGACTGAAATAAAATTGATAAATATAAATAAAATTGTTGCAAGTCAGATAGCATCTCTGAAGACTACAGCTATGCTTTATTGTTTTTCAGTTTATTTTTAAGGTGATATTTTTTATATTAGCTGCATATACACAACATAAGTTACAAACTTAACATATGTTACAAACTTAACTTCTTTATCTGATAAAGAATTTCTTGATAAATTGCCAATAGCTAGTGAGCTCATTTTGAAACATCGTTATGCTGTGAGTTGTCTCAGCTTTCAGGCATGGAGGCTGAGGGAATGGATAGCCTTTTGAGGTAAGCACAAGGAGTTTATTGCATTGATACACACTGTGCAGTGATTAGAAAAGTGACATATGTCTGGTTTGTTTGTGACAGCAGAGATTGTTACCATGTGATTGCGTGTTCTTGTGTGCCATACTGCTGCCATCCATGGTCATGGTTTGGGAATATCATGGCTGAAGATCCCTGTGCTTCTTTCTTCTTGGTGTAACTGGAAAATGTGTAGCACTGCTCAAAATAACCATAGCCTAAAATGTCTGACCTTTCTGAGGTCAGTCTTCTTTATCTATGTGCAGTATGTGTAAACCATTTTGAACTGGAACTTAGTTTCCGAACTAGGGAGGAGGTGTAAGTAGGGAGTTTCAGAAGACTGACATCATCCTACTCATATTTTTGTCTTGCTGTTTGTCTGCAGCTAAATGACTCTTTTCTGGCTGACAAGAAGAAGGGTAAATGGCAGCACCAAGACCTTGACAATGTGTTTAAACAATTGGGATAATTCTCTTCAGTGGGTTCCAGTTTACCAAGAGAATTGGAAAGAATCACATTAGCAAGGAGAGGATGGGGTGTTTTGGCTTATTCTCAACTGTAGTACTAGCAGCCTTTTTGCAGTTAGCTGGGTGACGACAACAAACATATAGTGATGCCCCTCTTTGGACGAGCCCTGCTTTGTTCTGTGGCTAAGACATCACTGTCAGCTAAGGTCACACCAATGATACAGTACCTCCAGACTCACTAATGGGTGTCCAGAGACAGGAACAGTTTGGACTTCTGCAAGTGGTGTCCAGATATTTTTACTGCATTTCAGTGCTGGATTCTGCCAGTGAAACTTTGCCAGCAGTTTCAGTGGTTAAAACAAATTGAATGAGGGAAGGAGAAGAAAGCAACATGCACTGTTTGCCACGTAATCCTTTTGCTAAATACAATTGATTTTTTCTATGGTGAGGCTTCCATTTAATGACAAACATTTTTGTTCATTTGTTCATATGTTTCTACCTGCTAGGTGATAAGTATTTAGGATACAGGCTTTATTATACTTAACTCCTCTGCAGAACTCTCTGCCTCCAAGTAGTTGCCTGCCTCAAGCTGATGAAGTCTTTTTGTGTTTTTGTGCTCATCTCACCATAAACCTTCTGAAATTGCTTCCTTCCAAATTTCTGTTGAAATTGTAGTCCCAATTGGAGTGAAGTAAGAACTTGCATGGCTGCATCCAGCCAGAGTGAGTATTATTGCTGAACTGTAATACTTCATCACAGGGGTCTGAAATATAAAGAAAATGTGGCTGAACTGAAATTGTACCACTTCAAATTATAACTCCCACAAGAGCTTCCCATTGAAAGAAGAAATTTCAGACTAATTCTGGAGTGAAACATTGATCAGTCCTTCCCCCCCACCCCTTTCCTCCCTCTGCCTAATATATTAGGAGGTTTTCATCCTACAGGGTACAGTGCTGTAATTAGAAACTAAGACCAAAACTGGCGAAGTTCAGAAGGCTGAAAAAAAAAGACAAGCATGGTTTGAGTGGCAGTGTGAACTGAGTGAGTAGAAGGAGGGAGGGATGGCATCTGCAGGCCTCTGGCAGGTCTGATCCTACTCCATCTGAATTTGTCTTTCACCCTTCATTCTTTATTTCCTTGAATGCTGCTGTGAGACAAATATCAACTTACAGAAGATGATATTTACTGTGGATACTTCATGATGGTGATTCTTGACTATCTTGAGTCTTGTATTAATTTGTATTTTAAGGCACATATTTACAAATATAGTGGAAATAGTTGGAGAATGTCATGGTCCACTGCAAGACTTGCTTAGTATTGCTGACATAGTTTTGCTCTGATTCCAGTTTCTTAATAACTGACTATGAATATATATTCAGAATAAGCACTGTTTTTCCAGTGAAGAAGTTTTTATAATCCTTGAAATTTAAAGGGAATACATGGCAATAATTTGTGTTCCTCCATTCAGCTAAAAAATACAGGTTGGGAAGTCTCATTACATCATTTTTTGTGGGTTTTTTTTTTTTTTTTACAAGCCTGTAAAACTGAACAAAAATTAATATGTAATATCCACTTACTATCTGACCAGGATTGTTCCTTTTAAATGACAAAAAAGAAATAGTAGTCTAACAGTAATTTAAGAAGAAAGAGTGAAGGTCACAGTAGAAAAAGATACAACTTTGAGAGATTATATATCTTTTTACTTCTCTTGCCTCTCAGAGGTACATTTGAATCACAAAATGAAATTATCAGGTGGTTGTATCAGATAATGTTTATGCCTGCTACTACTACTGAAATACTGAGAACTGACCTTTAATCAGTCATGAGACAAGGAGGTCTAAATTAAACTGCTGGTGTCTTCTGTAGACAAATAACTTTGTTTTAAGTGAGGATGCTCTTTGAGGGAATCCTTTCCAGATTAGTACGTGTCTACATGGAAATCTCTGATGATTTCATTGTCCTTGTTCAGGGAATAGTGAGTGCTTTTACAGAAGGTATTTTGACCTGCTGTGACACATACAATAAACTGGGTAATGCACATCATGGAAAACTTTAATGTTCATGAGTTGGGAGATTACTTGCACTAGTGTGTTGGTATGTGTTCTCTTTTTCTCAGTTAAATGAATTGCATGACATAATGTCCAGACAGCAAAGAAATCATGATGTTGTCTTAGGTACTGAGGTCAATGATAGAGACCATAGGAAAGGCTGAATAGAAAAGGCTGAAATTTACATAAAATATACATATAACAGCCAATTAAAATTTGGTTACATGTAGTCGTGTTTTGTTAGGTATGAGAGCCTTGTAGTATCGCATTACTTATATTATATGTAACTGTTAAGGTGATTATTTTGAACTTAACTGCTTTTTGTCCCCATATGTTTTCAGGAGATCCAATTAGAACATGCAAAGCAAGCATTTGTACAGAGAGACAATGCTCAGTCTGGAAGAGTCACCGCTATGGACTTCAGGGACATTATGGTCACTATCCGGCCACACATGCTGACACCATTTGTAGAAGAATGTCTAGTAGCTGTGAGTAGTTCTGGTATCCCAGCTGGCAGACCTGGGATACAAATGTGGAATTCCTTTTCTTATGTATCTTGACCACTACACGAGACATAATCCAGCTTGAGGATGCACGTTTGAAGTCTAGCAGTTATTATCTACACATATGAAAATTAGCCCTGATTGCTGAACATATATCCTCAATGGTCTTGGTTTCCAGAGACAAAAGAAAGCATGTAGATGGACCTTAGTAATGGCCTACAAATGTAGAGTTTGCCTTTTTCCAGCCATTCCATCATAGTAGACCGTGTCAAATAATTTTTAAATGCCATACATTGCACTTAGGATATCATCCTCAAAGAACTTGCTTTGTAATGTAAATTCTAAGCTCCTGAATGTAATTTCCAAGTACTTGGGACTATGTATGAATTGGAACATCAACCAAGGACATTCACTGTATCTTGACTAACAGTTGTTACACTTGACTATATCTTTTGTCTCGGTTTGGAGTGCATAAAGAAAAGAGGTACATTTGGTTTTGACCACAATTTATAATTTTGGGAACTTGTACACATTCCAAGTAATCCAGACTTTGGCCATATTCAGGTTTGAAGATCTGCTTAACTTGCAAGGGAGAGATTTTATCACTTCACTTGCAATTGTGATGAGTGCTGCAAACTCTGACCAGAATATTAGAAGATGCATGCAGCAAAAAGCATAGCCAGAAGATTTAGGAGCTGACAGTGAGATTTGGTACTTTCTTCCATGGTTCTCTCACAATCTTGTTACCAGCCTTCCTGTGTCATATGCTCTGTCATAAAACATACGGTATTATTTTTGATTATCCCTCAAGGTCAGTTAAAATTTGGCAAGCTTATGAGCAGAAATTTGCTTGATCATTGATCTTATATTTTAAATAGTGCATTGATCCAGTAATTGTTCTGTGTGCAGACCCAGCACCATTTTAAAACAGAGGTTTAGTCTCAGTTCTCATTGAAAAACGAGTAACTGCTTGAACCTTACTGTTCCCATTATGTTTGACTGCCTGATATAAGCCTGAGAGCTTACTGCTGGTTTTCTATGACTTGAAATGCCTGTGAATTTAAAGGTTTCAATTGACCTTTTTCAGAATATGTTTTGGTTTTGTTGAAATTTTCTATATAGTAATATGCTTTACATGTAGAAGTAGATTTCCTCATTACTAGAAATAAGCCAGTTTATGAAACATTTCCAACTGAAGCAGTACTGAAACTTGAACTTTGTAAATTACTACTGGTTATGTTGTTATAATCCTGCATATGTATTTGTTTAGGTTTGTAGGGTGGGGAGAGTTTTATATTCTGGTCATGATTAGTTTCAGTAACATAAGAATCTTTCATCGTTTAAAGTTTTTTATTTTGCAGGTTTTTTTAAAAAGTAAGCCTGTGCTGCTGTCACTCTTGTAAAAGAATATTGTTTGAAAACTTTTATTTCAAAGTTTTTTAGTCTTGTAACAATCTCTTTTCCTCTTTTACTGTCCCTAGGCTGCTGGAGGTACCACTTCCCATCAGGTCAGCTTTTCCTATTTTAATGGGTTTAATTCTCTCCTTAACAACATGGAGCTCATTAGAAAGATCTACAGTACTCTGGCTGGAAATAGAAAAGATGTGGAAGTCACTAAAGGTTGGTAGAAATATTTGCAGTCTGGAAGTTTCCTTGGATATTTGAATGGAGGGAAAGATCTCATCTGTATGCTTTTAAATCAATGGGGGCAGGGGGGGAAACCTGCCTCGTTACCATTCCTTGTTTCCCACTTGGTTTGTACAGTCCTGTCAGAGTGCACCCTCCAGGTTTTTCATTTTGTTTCAATCAGAAAAAGGTCCTAGTAAACTGGTGGTGGGGGCAGGGTGAGGAAAGTATGTAAAGATATTTAAAAGTTTAAAAAACTTCCTAGGACTCCTGCCAAATTGGCAGCCTATTAAAGTGACCTTCAAGGGTAGTTGAAGAATTCCATAAACTTGTATTGGCGGCACAGTAAGCTGATCTACAAGCTTGGAACAAGATGTTATCTGCTATATCTAACCACTTTTATAGAGAATTCCCTGTGCAACACCAGAGTTTCATTAATGTGGCCTCCTGGGACTATGCATGAAAAGTTCCACATCTCTTGCCTCCTGTTTTGGGGGTTTTTCTTTGTTTCCTTTTATTTTATATTTTTCCCTCTGACCTGCAGCTGATTGATACCGTATGCCAAACATCCTAAATCCTGCTGGTAGTACTAAGCTTTAAGACCAGAGAGTTGTACTTACTTGCGTGAAGGATAGACCATTTAAAGCACACATTTATGTAGTGACAAGAACACTTCTATGTTGGGTAAATTACTCTGCTTTCACCCTCCCCAACCAGCGTCTTCTGCTTTATACTAAAATGTAGTGCAACTTTGGGGTGCTCTGGATTATTTCTTCTGGTTTGAGTTAATTTAATTTTCTGTATTTTTATTCTGTTGCAGAGGAGTTTGTTCTGGCAGCCCAGAAATTTGGTCAGGTTACACCCATGGAAGTTGACATCTTGTTTCAGTTAGCAGATCTTTATGAGCCACGAGGGTAAGTGGAGAATTATCTATCCTCCTCTCTTTCCTCTTCTCTTCTCTTCTTCTTGGAAGAAGTGGGAGGTGGTGCTGGGGAACAGGAGAATGTAGTGTAGTGGCCCACGTGCAGGTAACTTTTAAGTGATCTGAAACCAAGCTCTAAGTAAATACTAATGTGAATTAATTTCATCAGGCGCATGACATTAGCTGATATTGAAAGAATTGCTCCTCTGGAGGAAGGGACATTGCCCTACAATCTGGCTGAGGCACAGAGGCAGGTAAGAACAGAAGCCAGCACAATGCTGTTGTTTTGGTTTAGTGCCAGGTAAATAGGCAGTCGGCCTCTTCATGTTGTCATCTAAGTTGGTTTTCTCTTGTGTTCTGTACTAACTGTGAGGAATAACATCTTGTTAGAATTTATTTTTTCACTGGTGTCATGTTCTCTCCATCTCTTCTTTGTACCCCTTCCTCTTGGGCTCCATTTTAACAGGTCAAATGTAATTTACTTTGGAAAGATAATATGATAGCAGTGTCATCTAACCAGTCAGTAAATATTAGATGCATGCCTAATTAAGATGTTTATGTTTTGTGATTCTGTTGCTCTGTGGTCTTTTTAATGAGGAAAAGAGAAAAAAAAAATGAAAATTCAACATCTATCCTATGAAATGGCAGCCCTTGTTCTGAATACATATGCATGTTCCTGGCTTCGCAGTGTTCTCTGCTTTGCTTTATGCTCTGCTGAATATCAAAATAGGAGAGCTTATGTATAGACTAACATCACAGTTTCAATAAAACTATGTCCAAAACCTAAAGGATATTTACTTTCAGTGGTATAACCACAAATGGACTTTTTTTTTTGTTTTGAGGCAAAAGGAAATAGGAATGTTTTTTACATGTCAAGCCCATTGGTCTTTTAGTTTTTGTATTACTTTATCATGTTTTGTATTTTCATTGATACAAGTTTCTATACAGATAGATTTAAAACTAACCCTCCTGTTGTTCTCTGTCTCTATTTTAAGGCAGTCTTAACTTTGTGTCTTGTGAGACTAAGGGTTTTTTGTTGGTTTTCTTTTTTCCTGCTCTGGGTTTGTGCGGAGACGCCAGTTTAACCACAGTGAGTTGATCCAGGCTACATTTTTAGGACTACCAGGCCATACGCCAGGCCTCTGTGTGTGTGTACACACGCGTCTCTTTTCCTTCTCTTTTTTCTTCTCCTGCCTCCCCTACATGTGAACACCCCCACCACCTCTCCAAGACAGTATCTCAGGTGGTGGTTTTCTGTTTGTTCAAGCAGTGACTAAATGGTGATGATACTGGGATGAATTCAAGTGAGTTGGCTCCCCAGAGTTCACCATCTGTTCCTAGAGGATTCCTGAAGGAGTTAAAAGCATTTGCATTGGGCTGAATATCGAGTAACATAAGTTACAATAGGTGGCAGTAAAAGGTAGAGAAAAATGCATGATGGAAGTAGCAGCTTCTTGACTTTTTACTTTGGAGCCACTGTCTCTGCTACCATGATTTACATTGTTCTAGGAGGCGAGGACGATGAATTATGATCATTAAATCTTTCAATTTCTTCTGTGTATGCAACCCACCTTTTCATTTTTTCCACCCAATTCCTTTTAATGTCAGCTGCTTGATGCTGAGACTGAATAGATTTTCAGCTACATTGATATCTTTAATTTATTTCTGGTCATATCCATATTTTTATTTTGTTGCTTTACTTGTAGTATCCTAAAAAGAACATACTGCAAAAAGTGCTAGTAAGTAGGAAAGATTTAATGACCCTGCAGAACTTCTGTTTTCTTTACTGTTTTCTTTCATTAGATAGCAATTTCAAATCTGGAACACTTCTGAATTTTATTTTTCATTGGGTTGAATCTAGCACTCATAGACTGTCAGCAAAATGAAATTGTGGGGGTGCTTTATGGAACCTTATTTTCCTCCAGCTAATCTGTGTGAATGCTCACATACTTGTTTTGGTAGCCTAGGAAGTAATAGGTATACCTGGTTTTGGCAACAGTAGAAAGAAATTCCAAGCTGGAGTTGCTTTTAGCTGTAGAAAATGAATGACTGAAAAGGCAATATGTAAGCCCTCATTTAGGCCACATTTAGACCATTGATTTTAGAGTTGTGTGATTTTGTTGTAGTATCTGTTTTCTTTCCTATTCCAATCGGAAGAGGCTGCCTTATATGACACTTAGAAATCAGTGGAAAAAAAGTAATAATTGAGAACAAAATCTCTAGTGTATTGTGGAATTTATTCCCGGTATCCATATACTTTTATCTGTCTGATCATGAAATGTTCTCTTGGGAAATTAGATGTTTTGATTATTTTTCTTGTCTTTCCTTTTGTTTTAAATCCTGCCTTGACAGAAAGCTTCAGGCGATGTGTCTCGACCTGTTCTCATCCAGATTGCAGAATCAGCGTACAGGTTTGCCCTTGGTTCAGTTGCTGGAGGTTAGTCATGGCTGAGGAAAAGAATATTCATCTTCACTGTTTGGGTTTTTTCTTCTTTTCTTTTGCTCTTCTTCTCCTTCTGTCTCTCGTTTAAGTGTTGAAGGCTTCTCAGACTTTCCCTTGGAGCTGTGTCTATGGGGTGGGATGACTGTTAGATTGAAGGGGAAAGGATCATCTGGTCTCCAATAATTTTGAAATTTATGAACTGTTGGAGTTTCCAGGTGGTGTTGCTATCTGATTTGTTGCCAAACAAATTTCATGAAAATGAAATTAATAATGAGGTAGGACTGGAAAGTGTATTTGGTTAAAACTGTGTGAGGTAGTTTAATGTATCCAGAATATATCACGAAGAAAAAAGATGCAACTGATATGTTAGATAGAAACGTGAAAGATGACAGTTGCAGTCAAACAGTGTAAATGCAAAGTCATGTTTTTTTATATGTTGAATTTTATTTGCAGCTGTTGGAGCCACTGCAGTCTACCCAATTGATTTAGTGAAAACTCGCATGCAAAACCAGCGTTCTACAGGCTCTTTTGTAGGAGAACTTATGTATAAAAACAGCTTTGATTGCTTCAAGAAAGTGCTACGTTATGAAGGTTTCTTTGGGCTTTATAGAGGTAAGTTTAAAATGTGTTATATACTAATGATAAGATACTATTAAGAGTTTTGTGTGACTGCATTTTTAAGTCTTTTTAGTTCAAACTTTTGCTTCTTTGTTACAGGGAAAGAATTTACAAAGTTCTCGATAATTAAAACTTCACTGTAATGAGAACATTTCTGTAGGACTTCTCTGTCCTTCCTCTCCTCATCTGCCACAGGGGAACATTAGTAATTTCCTACAGCAAAAATATATTGTTAGTAAAGTTCTCATTTCCTTACCATCATTTTAGAGGCAGATTTAGACCTGTGCTTCTACAAATTCTCTCCTTAAAGAGCACCCTGACTTAGCTCTGAGGGGCAAATAGAGAAAACTGCTTAAAAATCTGGAGCTCCTTCTGTGCAGTTCTGTAAATTCAGACCATTGCTCACTTCCTAAAGAGATGTTGAAGAAAGTTAAGGAGCTGAGTGCAGAGGAAGTTTCCAGTTAAGCTTCAGAGGAAGAAAGATTTGAAAGAAGCATCTTATAGATTAGTGTAATTACCCAATGTAATGCAGTACACATTCAGCAAGAGTCATCTTATTCTGGTCTTGAATCCTACACTAGGTAGGACACACTACAGAGTATATAACTCTTTGCTACTCATTGATCGCTGCAATTCTTTCTTCAAGTGATTTGTTCAGGGTTAAGTCAGTGTGGGTGGTTTTGTCCCCACTGAGGGAGGAAGTAATTGTTGGGAGACTTCTCCTTAGCTGAATAGATGCAAAAGTTTTTTGAAAAAATTATTCTAGGAACATTCAGAGCAGTGGTCTTCTGTCATGATGAACTGCAAAAAAGCAAGCAGAAATTATAAGCTTCACTCTGAACTCTGCCATTTCAGATATTTTTAATAAAAGACTCATATTTCCATCTAACAAAGTGAACTGATTTTCTTTTTGTATCACTGTTTTTTTCCAAATTTTGAAACCATGTTTTAAACCACCATCTCAGATAAGGATAAATTACACCATCTTGTGGATATATAGAGAGCACTAAATCTGGTTTGATGTCAGTTTGGTTCTAAGTATAATCAATGTTTCCACTGAGAAGACACTTGGATTAAAAAAAAAACAAACATGATATAAACCTCTGTAGAGTCTTTATAATATGCATTATATAAATGCTGTGTTGTTAGCATTTTTTTAAAGACTTTGTATCTGAGATAAATTTTTCATCTGTCTCTCAGCATGGCTGAAAAGAATGCTCATCTCATATAGCTGTAATTTACTGTTGTGTCTACGTTTATACCTGAAATGCATATTTAGAAATTCACAGGTATTTTTATACATGCAAATTTAAGAAAATTTTGAAAGCTGTGATTTGTCAAGGTCTCTTTCAACTGATGAGGTCACCTACTTGTCATAATAGAATTTTAATCAGAAGTCCACCTGATGAGTCACAGAATGATTTACAGACTTGAGCAGTGCATCCAGTAGAGATCATTTCATACATACTTCATTGAAGTTTCATGGGAAATTTAAGTACCAGAGATAAAATGTAGTTTAGGAAAATGTTTGGTAGCCATGCTGTTAATGCCACTTTGCCTGGAGGACAGAAAGACAGGGAATGGTGTTGAAGACACTGTCATCTGTGATCATTAACTGTTCAGGACCTTGTTTGTTAGTTTTATTTCTGTTGATGGTGCTTCTAGCCCTTCAGTGACTCCAAATGCCATCTAATTTAGATTTTAATGATTTGTTCATTATTATTGATGGAGTCCCATGCTAATGATGCAAAAAGACTGTTGCAGAAGCTTTCCTTCCAAGTTATGCAATGGAATACCATAGGTATTCCATACTGGAACTGGAATACCCTATGTAGTTCCATACTGGAACTACAAGCCTACTTGTACCTCAAGTTCTGTCAAAGCACAAAATTTTCAGGAAATACCCATTTCCAGTCTGAGGGAGCTATATTTGAATGGCAACTGGTGATTAATTTTCTAGCTTATTGTGTGAATCCTGTAATGGAAAAATGTGGCAGTATTCCATTACTACCCTCGTATGACATGCCCTAGTGGTTTCAAATATTTTATCTAGACCAAGCAACAAAACCTTCAGTCACTGTTTTTTCCTGATATGAAGGGAAAATCACATCTGTTACACAGTGTGAAACTGAAGCATCCCTGTTAGACATCTTAAAAAATACTTACTTTGGCCAAGTAAGATTTTTGTTTCTCAGTGCTATTGGTACTGCTGGGCTGGATGAGCTGTTGTGTGTGTATTCACAATGTATTTATACTGATTTCAAACAATAACTTGTAGGGTGTCACAAAATGAATGCAGCTTTTGGTGCTCTCTCTTGCACACACCTTCCCCTTCCCTGAGAGTGCCACTATGACAGTCAGACACAAAGTGGTACATTGTCAGTGATACAGTGTCAGATACAAAGTGGTACATTGTAATTGCTGCTAAAAAGCCTTGGATATAAAAAGGGACTGAATAATGTGTTTACTATGTACTGTACCAGCAGGCTGCCTATGTGCAAGATACTATGATCTGATGTTATAAAAGGCATGCATTTTTAAGGCACTGTCAGGCATTCCTAAGCCTATTCTCCATCTGTGTATATGTCATATTGCTGATCTGCTAATGCATAGTAACACTAAGAAATTCCCACCATGTCAAGATAACCCCAACAGAAATATGATATTTTCATATGGGGCCTTTGATGTGCTTTCTTTCTTTCAAAACTTAGCATCTTTGTCATGTTAAGAAATTTTCTGACATTCAGGGCTCCCATCAAAACAATAAAGAAACTAAAATTTAATTTTGATGGTCATAGCATATAGAATGCAAAGTTAGCACTTTGAGATAGGTATGAGATCAAATGAAGGGTCCCTCTGCCTTCCTAAGGTGCTGGAGACAGTATGCCTAGCTGGTACCTGGTAAGGCTGTAAAACCTGGTCTTAAAGTTCGTGCTGCCTTTTATAGAATATTGTCTGCTATCTTGCGGTAGATATATACAGCATTATCTGTAATTAAATTTACAAAGCACTTTTATACTATAAAATCATGTGTGAAGTAGAGGCAGGAATAGAGAAAAATGTTCTAGGTTTGGTTTTTCAGTTGGGTTTTTCTGGTTTTGTGTTTTTTTTTAAACTGCTGTCTATTCGATTTAACCTTTCTCTTCTCTACCTCAAAGTTTTATGGGAAGCTTTGAGTTGTAACAATCCCATTCAGATTTGGGTACAAAAGCAATGAACCAGATAGGAAAAAAAAACCTTGTTCCCAGATAAACATCTTTTTCTTATGATTTTACAAGTGTTTTTACAAATGCAAAGTTTTGGGAGCTGAAAAATGGCTAAAAGGCCATCTTCAGATCAGTTCAGTGAAAATAGATTTGATTTGTCCTGTTAATGTTGTTTCTAAGATTGGAGGTTTATGCAGATCATCAACTGGACTACTTTTATACTCTTCATATATTGATATTTTAGAATATCTTTTTCTGTGATTTATTTGAGAAAATATGACTTGAAAGTCATGGTATGTACAGCTTGGGTGTAATAATATATGTATATGTGATTTTAAAATTAATGACCTATGTGTTTGGAGTAATATCTGCCAAAACAGACCTGCTTAATTTTGCTGGATTCATCTTAAGATTAGGTAGTGTGCTTTTAAAGTATATGGAACTTTTTTTTAATCTCTGAAGATATAAAGTCATTTGCCATAATGTTTATATAAGGCCATACATGTCCTATAGCAAGTTGTAAATATTATAGCAATTACAAAGATAATTTTGTAATGAAAAAAATCTATTCATTTTATATTATTGTGTTTCCCTTATAGTGCTACAGATAATGTAACACTTAATTACATAATTCTAAATGGCTTAATGGTTTTTCATTGAGATTTGGTTTCACATCACCCATACAAGTAACACTTTTTAAGAAACTCAAATTCTAAAATTTAACATAGTCTGCAGAATCTCTTTTGGTTTTGATCAACTGTATATGAACTTAGTGCTACTGTATTTTTTAATTTGAATATTCAGTCATATGGTCATAATGCAGCATTGTTATCTTGAGTAAATGTTACATGCATATGTACATCAGCTGTATAAAGACATTAGTATATAAATATGGTTGGGTCTCCTGCTACCACAAACCAAATGGTGCTTCTCTTCATGTCAATTCCTTATTAAGAGCCTCAGTAGGAACCAGCAAAGCTGATGGATGGTAGCAGGATCGAAGAATATACTAAACCAGAGCATGTGCATTTTTCTCTGTGTTATTCTGACATTTAGTTCTTTAAGAAAATGCTTTTCAGCAGGTTAACTTTTAGAGGTGGAAACTTAATTGGTTTGGGGTTTTTTTTCAACAAAATAAAACCATGGAGAGGTGAAAATGTCAGGCTTTGTAGAAAGTACTCAAATGTGCTGCCTGAGCTGCTAAAACTAAAACGGGCTCTGTAGCAGGAGTTCTAGCTGGGGTGATTTTCTCACAATTTTGAACGGTGTCCTAATTTCATTATGCTGATGAATGCTTGCAACACCATTCTAGCTTCAGACTTTGTTGGTAAGCTTTGTCTATTTTTAGGTTGTGTCATTCAAGTGTTTACAAAATATCGACCATTCACTTCAAACAAGTGAAGCTGACAGTCAGAAATTCACACTTCCAGTTCTAACAAAATAAAACAGAAAATTCCATACCTGAGTAGAAAGCAACCTAATTTCCTTTGTTTTAAAAGCTGATGATTTAGCTGGCCAAAGAGCTCAAGAATGCAGTCATACATGTTTAAATGTTTTGCATTATTTTGATTCCTATCCCCTTCGGTCCTGCCATCTAATGCCATTGTTTTTGCTAGGAAAAGGTACTGAGGTTTTGACTTTTGAAGTGGATTCTTTGTGTATCTCACAAAATTAATTAGAAGATCTTGATTTTTGTGTGAAGATGCAGAAAATGAAAGTCAGCTTAGGACAGTAGTGAAACATATTTGGCAAATCTATATTAGTATTTAAACATAAAATGAGCTAGTATGAATTAAAAAGAAAAATAAACAAATACATATCGACAGTGGTAGCACTTGAAGTGGTAGCACAAAGTTTGTTCTCAAAATTGAATGTTTAAGTACTCTCATTATATATAATAACACAAAATTGCTGTAAAAATCACCTGTTTCTAGGGGCTGGTCTCTACATACATTTGTTGATTTGTTTATTTAATACCAGGTTACTCGATGCCTTGAATTCTCTATTTTCATGTTACAGGTCTGTTACCACAGCTATTAGGAGTAGCACCAGAGAAGGCCATAAAACTTACTGTAAGTTTGTAAAATAATTTTTTTTCACATTTATCCACAATATAAAATGCAGCAAATTAAAATAGCAACTGTTAATATCTGGCTTGTGAACAGTACAAGTGGCATAGAAGTCTCATCCAGAGGTATACATGTAAATTTTAAGACTCTTACTGAAAACTTATTTTTGGACTCACTCAAAAATATAACAAGCTCATTCAGCTTGTTCAGCTCATCTGCTTGTTTGTAAGTAGCATAGGCCTTTGGTTTCACTTCTTAGCAAATCAGAATAGTTACTTATCGGAGGGCTTTTGTTTTTGTATCTCCACGTGGTTACTGTATGTGTGATTCTAGTGCAATAGGAGATAGATAATATGAGCATGTAGTGAATTGTTGGTAAGAAAGGAACTTGTTTACGTGTTTTTTCTAAATGTTTTACTTCTGTAATTTTGTTGTTTCTTAAGTGTTTGTAAGGCACTTAAGAATTTCTATTATAATCCAATCATAATATATTTTTTATTCACTGATAAGGCAGTATTCATCAAAGCTAGATGTATGAATTTAGAAAAAAAAAGGCACATAATGGTACTAATTGAATTGCCATTCTGTTAAAGCTTAGTATTGAATATTCTGATATTGATTTGACATTTTAATTTGTTAATTTTAATTTTTTATTGATTTGACACTTCTAAAATATTAAATGTATTTTATAATTTTCTGACTTTAAAAATTACATTATTAGTGATTTTTTTTAATAATAAACATTTGAATTATGCTGCAAATTCTTGTTAGAAGGAAGAACATAGCTTTAGAATATTTAATAAAAAATCTAAGACTTTGATTTCTGTGATATCTTGTCATTTGGTAGCTTAGTGGATGTATTTGCATTTTCATTTGCACAGCATTTGCAGCTGATGAGTATTTTCTCTGACCTTTTAATTTATCAGCTTTCATAAATGTTTATCTTTTAAGGTTAATGATTTTGTGAGAGATAAGTTCAGGACTAAAGATGGATCTGTCCCACTGGCTGCAGAAATTCTTGCTGGTGGCTGTGTAAGTATCTTTAATTTCCTTCATATGACATTCATGAAAGTGCGCTTTGTAAGATTAATTGTGTGGACTAAGGCTTCTGTTTAACCACAGATCCGGTTCACGAGCAGACTCTCCTAAGAGCATCTCAGCTCTTTCCTAGATAGGCCAGCCGTTCTTGATGAAAGGGTAAATGTTTCTGTGCATCGTGCCTTTTAACTGCGCTCTGTAATTCTCACAGCTTAGAGTTTGTCTCCTTAATCAAGAATGTGTCTTTATTCATGTTGGCTGTAGCTTATGGCCTTAAAGAGGATTCATGCTAACCTTTCCAGAAGTTAATAATTAGTTACTACTTTGTGGCACCCACTCTACCACGTCACTTCTTTCCTGATGTGTTATTGCACCCACTAATTTTCACTTTTTGCAGTGATACTGGCTTTTTGAAATGGCAAAGACTGCTCATGCTTCTTTGAGTTCATAGCAGACGTAGGCTGTGTAATGTTAACTCAGTGCATAATGCATTCCTGAATGTAGGCTGTATTTAAAACCCACTAAGATTTTAAGAGTGTTTTTCTTGCACAAAGTAGTATCTTAATGAACAACTGGCGCATTACTGGGTAAATGATAATACTTCACTACTTGGTCTAGTTCTGTCTGTTCATATTACAGCTTATTGTATCTGGTGTATTGATTTGTTAAAGCAAATGTAAGTACTTTAGGTAAAACTAATAGTTGTTCAAAGACCAGTGCATTTTACAGATAAAGAACACTATTTATTTAAAACAGCTTTGATCACTGGGGCAGAGCAATGTTGGTGTATTTTTAATCTATCTTTGTTTCTGCTGTCATAAGACAGATGAGGTCACATTTTCAAGCAGCTTCTACCTGTGCCGAAAACTACAGTGAGCAGCAACTTAAAAGAAAAAATGCTTGTGTCTTAACCTCAGTATGTGCAGAGATTTGTGCTGTATGTGCTTGCAGAAAGCAAGAACTAAGATTATCTGAGCCTCAGGGTGCAGTGCCTCGGTTGCATTGCAGGCTGAGAAGCCCTGGCGTTCTGTAATTCTCAGGAGATGGGGCAGGATTTGGCTGCTGTCTCACTGCTCCTTCTGTTTGATCACTGACCTGTTGTAGACTGCCAGGTAGGATCCCCTTGTTCTGTAACTTTAGGAGCATTCAGGGAAGAAAAAAAGAAGGGGAGGGAGAGAAGAATGTGGGTCTCTAAAGTCCTAAATAAAAAGCATGCTGTAAATGAAGGAAAAATGCAATAAAGCGCTTGCAGAGTAAAAAGTATTTGCCCCTTACACTAATAAAAAGTCTCATGAACATAGCAGCCATAGAGAATTCTCCAAATTTTTAATTTAAAATGTCATTTGATCTAGAGTTTTTATTTTACAGACTGCTGTGAATTTTTTAATGCAGTACAAAAAACACTTTTTACAGAGACCTGTCATTCATGAGAATGCTGTAGCAAGCTTTTTGCCAGCAGTTCATCGTAAACTAAGGATCTGCTTTAAGAGATAGGTGGTTTGAGATGTATTTTAAATGTTTGTAAATGTTGGCTTGTCCTAAATTTATATTAACAGCATGAAGTCGTAGCAGTAGACGTGCAGTGGCAGAATGCCCTGCGTTTTCTTTTAACTGTAGTGCTCCACTTAAGGGCATAATTTGGTGCCAGGTAGATAGGTTGCAACTTGTCTCTTCTGCAGGTGGTCTTAGGGTTCTTTTGTAATTTTAAACCCAATTCAGACTAGCAACAGAGACTCTCATTATCAGCAGTTCCTAGGTTTTTTGGGGTGAATTTTTCTGTAATGGTGTAAATATATGTGTTAAATATGAGATGCCAAAGACATGCTTTTTCCTCTAGCTTTCAGCATTGTATTGGTCTTTTTGTCCCCGAATAAGCCATTGTGAAACCTGTGATTTCATTGTGGAAGCAGCACGGACAGTGTTGAATGCTCGAAAATTGTCAGTCTTGGATTTTTACCTCATTTCACAATGTAGTAATTGCTTATGTGGGAGGCAAGAAGACAGGAGGGCATGATGTGTTAAAGTCTAAAAAGGGGAAGACAACTAAGATGAATTTTCTAAGACTCCTGCCCTATCACCTTTCCACATTCTACATCTAATTCTCAGCTGGGATTGTGTTACAAACACAGATTTAAATTTTTCTTCAGCACTTCTCTTTCCCTTGAGTGTATTCATTGCTTATGCAAGAGCTGAGTGCTGGGATGCATGCTAGTTTGTAATGTTTTAAATAGCTGCTCTGTGAATATGGTATAGTAATAATAGCTAGGAAAGGGAGGACAAGCAGATACTTGGATAGGTTGGGTTGTTCAGGAACACAAAGGGCTTTGAAGGGGTCAGTATCACCTGAGTAGCTCCACTCTGCTGTTTGCCCAACCATTGCCAGGCGTTGACTTTTAAGTCTCCAAGGAGTTCACTTTGCATCATAATTACTGTGAATTAGTACACATGGCTGACTTTTGCACTTGTAACTAAAGCTGATTGTTTCATTGAACAAGTCTTTTTCTGTTTTGTAAACTGTTTTCTCTCCTAAAAAAAAAGAAAGAAGACAAGAAGAAAATAGATCTTTTATTTCATGACCTTGTGACACTTAATTCAGTTAACAGCCTGTTTCATAGCTTTTTATTACATGAAGATGAAAGCGATAGGTTGGTTGAGATTTTTTTTTTAGACCCCCAAGAATACAATTAAAAGTATAACCTTTATACCTAAGGAAGGCTGTTATGTAAATTACTAACACAAGATTTCCATCTCCTTTGTTTGTAAGAAATTTTTCTAATGACTATAGTATTTCTTACCCATAAAAATGCATGTAGCTTTCCGATTTGTACAATGCTTGACACCCACCATGAACTCTGATCTCTGCTGCACATTTTGGACTCTCATCACTCATGCAAATCCTATATAGCTGTTATCGTGATGAGGCTAGTAAAAATCTTCAGTTTCAAGGCATGGTGTAATGATGCTGTAGAGCTAAGATCTGGTGAGCATCTAAACCACAAAGCTGACTTAACCTTATTGAATTAAAATGGACACATATATGCTGGGTTTGATTTCTGCTAATGCTATAACTCACCTTTGGAATTCCTTAGTAAAAGGATGTGTAAGCTGTAAGTACAACTTGAATTTTTTTTTTGAAGTGACAATAATATTGAAATTTCTGGAAGCTTTATTTCATGGTCTTTTACTTGATTTTATACTTGAAATAAAAAATAATTTAAAGTCATATCAAATTTAGCTGCTTGCTTTTTGTAATCTTAATTCACTTAAAGGCGGCTGTTGAAAGTAACCTGATTTTTTTTAATATAGCATTATATATTAGTCTTATTTTTATGAGTTATATTAACACATGGAAAATGCTCATTATAAAAGTATCATAAATACTGTATTTGGGGTTTTGAGACATTATCTTTAATATTAACTTTTTAGGTGAGACAATAGTTTCTCTTAGAACTGTAAATTAAGCAGTTCAAAATTTAATGAAAAATTTACGTTCGTGTAACTGGGAACGAGATGCAAATATGCAAAATAAACAATATAAAACATAAAAGAATACTAAGAAAAACAGAAGGAGGATTATAGCATGACTAAAGAAATTGCTATATATGTTGCCTTGTCTGCATATATTAATACAATGATATCAGTAAATAGGAGGCGTTATTTTCAGCAAGGAAAGAGAATTACGTTTTGCTTTATTAACCTTTCCTTCTGCACTCCCTTTTCCTTCTGAGCCCACAGTCTTTTCCTTCCCAGCTGCTCAGTGTGTGATCACTATTAGCCAGCTTAAATCATGTAGCACAGTACAATTACAGATCCCATACAGATCTGCTTTTGTTTAAATTGTCAAGGCAATTTTAGGCGTATTTCGAGAGACTTTATAGGAATCATAATAAAGTAAAAATGTATTAGACCCGCTTGGGCAGCCTCAACTCTGCTATGGAACATAAAAATTAGATATGGTTAAGATGGAGTACAAAATCGTGCCCAGAATTAATTTTTGTATAGAAATGTGATGTGATATTCCACATGAATTGTGCCAAATAACAGATCCAGTGCAAATAGTTTTATTAAGCTACTTAAAACATTTATTTTATGTTTCGGAGAGTAATAAAGATAAGTCCACATCTGAGCTACATTTTCTTTGTGGCATTGCAGTTGAGACAGAGGGCGTATAAACTGCAATTCCCACATTTAGATCTCTTACTTTAAAAATTCAGACATTTGGAAGTTGTGGACTAAAGGAGACTGAAGGTGCCATTCTTGCTTTCATTATTATGAAATCTAGATATGTTAACATTCAACTATATTTGCAAGGGAAGCTAAGCTGTGGGTAAAAATAAACTGCACAGTATATATACCAGGGGAAAAAAATACCTGCATGTATATCTGGGGAAAAAAAAAGAAGCAAACAACTGCTGTCACAGAGAGAAGTTTTGGTCTAGTTTATTGAGATAGATAAATTAAGAATATCATCTTGATGATTGCTCTTATGACCTTTGACAGCAAAAGGCATATGTCTCCTGAATGCTTAGCAGATTTGTTCTCAGAGGTTCTCCCTGTGGCTGGGGATCCATTACTTTCAAGGAGAGTTCTACCTGCTTGTGTCTGTCCAACCTTCACATCTTTAAGGAAAATTTCAGAATCTCCTAATACATTATTTTTTCCCTTGATTAAATGTAAAGCTATTTTTTGTGCATAAAATTGATGTTGTTCAATAAATTATTTAGATTTAAATTCTGTTTAACATAATTAATATAATGTAGCTGAATATGCTATAATTAATTAGATATTTTTAAAGTATAGTACTGTTCTCTGAGCCACTGTAATTGTAGTTATTTTCAGCATGCTGAAAATCATTTAAACTAATCATAAATTTTTGGTAAAAAACCTCAGCTAGAGCTGGACTTAAATTTTACTTCACATTTGCAAACTCACTCTATTTCAACTCTGCTCTGTTTTAATTGTCTCTGATAAATTTTCATCTAATTTTAGATTTA